ACAACACAGTGGGTAACTTCCAAGACGCGCTGAAACAACTGCGTTCTAATGAAGTACCTAAAAACCTGGAGCTGGCCGATTTCGACCCAATTGCTGCCGCAAGAGGTGATTATCTGCGCGATAGAAACGCGCCAGTAACACAAAATAGGCGTTATATTTTGCCACAGAGACAAATGATTCCCCATTTGCAGAGAGAGCAGCCCGCGAGAGAGCCGCCAAAGCTGCCGGGATCCCTCTCCAAGAAATCGAGGAAGAACTGCCAAGGTAGGAACGATACACTCACTACCGAAATGGGGTTGACAAATGTTGTGTGTTCCGCATTTACCGCGATGGCACTACCAGAAGTTTCGGTATTCGATAACGCGCAAGGCAAAGGGTTCGAAAAGTTCCTACTCTCCTTTAGGGTTAAATATGATGGATTGAATTTGAGTGATGAAATGCTTATCCACTTGTTATGCTCGAAGCTAGCAGGGCAACCCCGGGTTATAGTGGAGACTCTTCCTATGGATGTTCGAGAAGGAACATTCCATGATTTCGTAACCGCACTGAAAGCCAAATTCAAAGAAAATGAGTCTGCCAACAGAATGGAGGCATACGTTAGCCTCAAAAATCTCCGATCATTCGGGACTATCTCCGAGTACTGTGCGCGGTTGGAACAATTAACAAGGGCAGCCTATCCAGAATCGGCGGAAAGGGAGCTCTCCATGTTGCGTACTGGAGAGCTAATCGCACAACTGACTGAATGGCCAGAGTACGTTCAACTTTTCACGGAGGTAGAACAAACTCCGGCGGAGGAGGCTTATGAGAAACTAAAAGCCCTTGCACAGCGAATTGAAAGGAGTAGGGAAGTGGCACTACACTTGAAGCAAGAGGCCACGAATAAACTGAGACGTTTTCCACTAAGGAAGGGACGCCAAACGCCACCAGGGAGGAAGTACTCGATTGAGTCCGAAATGCAAAGAAATAAGGACCACTCCCAGCCTTCAAACCCGAACCGAAACGGAAAGCAAGAAGGACCAAGGAAACAAGAATTGCTGTGCCACAACTGCAAAAAGCCTGGACATTTTAGGAGGGACTGCAAGGAACCCCCACAAACCCAGTACACTCACAGAGATACAAGAAAACTAGCACAAGGAGGCAAGAGCGATGCCACGAATGAATGTGGTGCAAGATCTTTTTCTACTGTACTGCGGCATTGGGCATGCAGTACTGTAACCAAGAAGGAAGATAGCGATCTGGTGGGGAGCCAAACATTAGAAACTGTGAGGTTTCTTGGCTTGACCAGGGAAGCACTCATAGACTCTGGATCACAAATCAGTATCATGCCTTTAGACCTGCTTCTGACAGCACAGCAGAAAGGGTTTGACATAGATGGAGATGTGGAACAGATTCCACAACAGAAATATCCACAAGTTTATGATGCTTCAGGCAATTTAATGACCTTCAAAGGTGCCATTCGTCTAACCCTAGAAATAAACAACGGACCCCGATGCCGAGTTGCCCTCTTCGTTATGAAAGGAGGAGATGACAGGATAGTACTAGGGACAAACATCCTACACGCACTCGGCTACTCAGTCTGCAGGACAGGGAGCCCCTGTAAGTGTGAACGGGAGCAACCAAATCAACATGAAACCCTGGAATGGCATAGCAAGCGTTCTAAAAAGACCAGTAAGGCTAGGAAAGCGCAACAAGCCAAAGTAGCCGCACGTGTCTACATCAAACCGGGTGAAACCAAAGAACTGGAACTAACAAGCGCCTTCACCAAACAGACACAAGTATTGTGGTCTAACGATAGCTTAGTTCCTAATGCAGTTTGCAACATCATGCACGGGGCAGTAAAGATTCCCATTACCAATGCATCGGCAGAACCAAGAATTTACCGAGTCGGTGAGATAGTGGGTGAATGGGGAAAGGCCAAATTAGCAGAAGAAGCCCCACTTCATTACGCTAATATGCTAGAGCGGACGACAACACCTCCACCCGAGAGGAAGGCTCGCCTTTTACAACTGCTAAGGGAAAAGAAAAGTGAAAAAGGTGAAGACAAAGCTTGGGAAAATCTAGTGGAAAAGAACAGCGATATTTTCGCTATTACAGACCAGGAGCTCACGCAGACGTCACTTGTCGAGCATGATATTGATACAGGCTCAGCACAACCGATACGCCAAAAGCCAAGACCAATTCCTTTGGGAACAAGGGTAGCGCTGAGGCAAATCCTCACAGATCTTCAGGAGAGAAACATCATTCAACCCAGTCATTCAAGTTGGGCCGCTCCCATAGTATTGGTACAGAAAAAGGACGGCACATTGAGGTTATGCGTGGACTATCGAAAACTAAATCAAGTCACAAAAGTAGATAGTTATCCCTTGCCGCGGATTGATACAATTCTCCAAAACCTCAAGGGAAAGAAGTATTTTTCAACCCTGGATCTTGCCTCAGGATACTGGCAAATAAAATTGACGAGTAACGCACGAGAGAAGAGCGCATTTGTTACGACGGAAGGACTGTATGAATTTAACGTGCTGCCATTTGGGTTGGCATCATCCCCTCCAGTTTTCCAACGGCTAATGAATGCAGTCCTCGGTCATCTTCTAGGTGACGAAGTAGCTTGCTACCTAGACGACGTAGTGGTAGCAACAGCGACAGCAGAGCGTCACATAGAAAGACTGGAACAAATTTTTCAAGCTTTTCGAAAGGCGAACTTAAAACTTAATCCAAGAAAGTGCACTTTGCTAGAACGCACGGTTGAATTCCTAGGCCATCTTGTGGATGCAGAAGGAATACACATGGATCCGAAAAAGGTCTCTGCAATCGTGGAGTATCCGTTACCTCAAAGTCGAAGCGAGCTAAGAACTTTTATTGGCATGTGCTCATATTATAGGAAATTTGTCCTTGGCTTCGCGAAAGTTGCTGCGCCTTTGCATGAGCTAACCTCCGAAAAACAGCCATTTGAATGGACACCAGAACGAATGCAGGCATTCGAATTGTTAAAAAAAGTGATAACGTCGGCACCGGTGTTAACACAGCCAGACATCGAGGGAGCGCGAAGTGGCGAGAAACCATTCCAAATCCATACTGACGCCAGCTATTCGGGATTGGGAGCAGTTCTCAGTCAGAAGGGAGATGATGGTCTGCTCCATCCCATTTACTTTGCATCAAAAGGACTGACTAAAAGCGAACGCAATTATCATATCACGGATCTGGAAGCTCTCGCCGTAGTCTTTGCTTTGAGACGATTTCACATGTTCGTATATGGATTAGCTGTGGAAGTATGTACAGATCATCAACCACTTACATCCTTGTTTACTAGAGCTAATGTCTCAGCGAGAGTGCTACGATGGGCGCTCGAGTTACAAAAGTATAACCTCAAAATGGTTTACTTGAAAGGAGCGGCAAACAAGGTCGCGGATGCTTTAAGTCGAGGAGCTGCGCAGGCCCAGGACGGAGACCAGAATGAGAGTCTGGCAAATGGTCTCATTGTAGCAGCAGTCACCAAGGAACCTGAGTGGACAGTGGAACTCAGGCAAGACCCACTCTATGGGGATATCATACAATCATTAGAGCAGAAGAAGGAACCATCTTCGAAAAGAATCTTGAGGAACTACAATGTCGCAGATTTCACAATATCACAGGGCTATTTGTGCCTTGTGGAAAAAGACGGTTATCGAAGAATTGTACCAAAAGAGCACCGCAAAGAAGTGTTTCTGGAGGCTCACTCATCTTTGCTGGCAGGACATTTTGGTCCACGGAAGTTGATAAGAGAGCTGTCAAAAAAGTTCTTCTGGGAGAGTATGCATAAGGACATACTCCAGTGGGCGGAAGAGTGTAAAATGTGCACTCTACACAATCACAAACCGAAAATGACTCCACCCCTAAAGCCCATCGCTGTCTCCAAGCCATACGAGATCATTGGCATTGACATACTGGAGATGGGATTAACCACTAATGGAAACCGCTACATTCTAAGCGTCATAGACCACTTTACAAAGTATGGAGGAGCTTACGCTATAACATCAAAATCAGCGGAGGAAGTTACTAGAGTGCTATTTGAGAGATGGATAGCGGAAGGTTGCCGATTTCCTAAATGTATTCCGTCTGATCAAGGAGGGGAATTCGACAACAAGATGCTAAATGAGTTATCCAAGACTTTAGGGATAAACCAGACATTTACTAAAGGGTACAATCCCAGAGAGAATGGGCTGACAGAACGATTTAACCAAACTATAGTACAGTTGCTGAGAAAGAAGGTAGAGATTCCAGTGGAGTGGGACAAGATGCTTCCATATTGTGTGCTAGCATATAACACTACTATACACGAGTCCACTGGCGAATCACCATTCTTTCTACTCCATGGTTTTGATCCTTATGTGCCCCGAGACTGCGTTGACAGTGGTATCACAACTTATATGGTGGACCTGGACAGTTATGTAAATGAGCTTGTGTTAGGGATGCGCATGACTCATAAACTTGCTCGCACACAAAACGAAAAGGCTCGGAAAAGAATGAAGCTCAACTACGATAAAAACCACAAGGTCATCGAGAGACCGTTGACTTTGGGCGACCGGGTGTATATGAAGGTACCTATGGAAAAGTCCTCATCAAATCACCCTAAACTAGTTAACGATTGGTCGGGCCCCTTTCGAGTAATCGAACTCAGTGACAACAGCGCTTTAATTACGCTGATAAATGCGAATGACGAGCCTAAGCGCGTACCTTTTGATCAGCTTAGAAAAGTACCCCGAGGGGTCGACGACGAGCCCGTTAAAACCATTAGAGGAAGAGCAAAAAGGGGTAGACCAAGAAAAATTTTAAACTCTAAAGTCTTTTGTTTCAGGGTCGAAGTTGGAGACCCGCGGACGGATCCACTGCATCTGTTACATCCCTGCAATTGCGGTATTTTTGGAGAACGTGCACATGTGGCTCTACCCGGATTGCGCTGCCAGTTAGCCAGGTCGAAGAAAGTGAAGAACCTGTTTGAGCTCGCAAATGTTGCTTCAATCGCCATGGAACCCACGTGGGGAGACTGGAGAAAAGAGAACGAGCTTCTAAAGAAGCAGTCCACACACCTGTCGGTCATCGGACTTAGTTGTGCCATATCAGCCCATCGGTCGTTTTGCCATGATTTCGCCATGGCACTTCGCGAAAGAGAAGGACAACGGCTACAACATCCGGACATTTTTACGCAGAAGACGGACTACGATTTGTCCGCATACTACAATCAAGCACTTGCGAGAAAGGAACAACTCAGTCACTCGGACGGAGACGACATGCCGACGAACTCGATCATTCTAGCCTTGCCGAAGGCATTCGAGCGTGTGCGAACGGAGGTTGCCGCGGAAGATTCAGTGAAGTTCGTGGTGTACAACCACCTTGACGACATGGCGGATCAATTGAACAAAATACCGATTAGCGCAGCCATGTTATGGGTTTGGCCGGAGAAAATGCCGCGGTCGGACCAGATGAGAAGGAGCATGCAGGCCGTCGAGAGACATTTGCAGTGCGGAGGAACGCTAGACTGCTTCCCGCCACCTTTCGAGAAAATGCGCAGGGACGAGTGGGAGGAACTCCGGAAAGTCTGCATTGAAGTCGTGCGAATGTTGACCGGGCCGGCCAGGGGGTTTGACGCCAAGGTAATAGACCACTACGGACCACTAGAGGATGCAGTCCCGAAGCTCCACCCGGCCACTTGTCTGGGAGTAAGCCCCCGGAAAGGAGAAGATAAGTTGCACGGTTGGCAGATTTTAATCTTCCTGGAGCAGCTGCGAGAAGCAGCCTCGAATACGCTACGACTACCGACGTTCCACCTACGGGAGAAGAAGAAGAAAGAGACGAGCAATCTAGCGGAAACTGAGGGAGAGCCCGAGGCAAAACGGAAGAGGATGAAGAAACCGGAAATCATGTACTTGCGAGACCCCACAGCAAAATGGATGGAGCAAGCCGCAAATATGAAGCAGCGCGGACGGTATCACGGGCAAGTCCCCGGAGGTGACTATTCGAGGAGGGGCGTGTGAAGAAGAAATACCCGATGTTATCAGTTTATCAATGATAGTGTGACGTGTTGTAAGATGTGTTGATTGTTTCATTTCTTGAGTTTGTTTCACTTTTTGCCCTTTGGACATCGTCAGCGGCTCGCCTTCAATTGTACGTACTCTTCGTGGCCAATAAACCTATCTACGACGCACGTGCCCCACATCACCTACAGGAGAGAAGACACAACTGTTTAAAAAAAACCAAAGTATATGAGTATTATAATCTTTACTGTAATCTTCATTCAATTTACTTACCATTAGGTCAGTTGCCATCAGCTGATACTCCTCTACAGTGCTTACAGTAAGGGGAGACGGCTGGAGGGCGCCTAAACCTCAGAGGGGAACACCTTCATAACTCCTTCTACAAAACCGCTCCGCAACTAGAAACTGCAGATTTGGAATCAGCGTTTTAAGCGCTTTAAGATGATATATGTCTCATCTGGATTGGTGCTTTCGACTAAGTATCCTCTCTCTGTTAGTACATGTAAAGTTTTGGTACCATTTTATGGAAAGAATAATAAATTTTAATACAATAACTTATCGTTGTGCTAATACACATTGGTTATTGCTAACTTGTTGATTCGGGAGAACCCCTAGTGTGGTTTTGAGCACATTATATCCAATGCGGTTTACACCACGGTAAGGCTCCCCAGCGATGAAGAGGCTTGCCCCAGCCGAAGAGGAAACACCTTTTGATAAGGAAACCGCATAAAAGTTCTGGATGGACCGCCTCAGACTCAATGGATTTTGGTCCGCAAACCGCGAAACCTCCCATTATACAAGTTACAAGTCGTCCTTGTCCAATTATATTAACGAGGAACAGCGGTTGAAAATGACAGAAGCCGAAAATTGCAATGATAATAAAGGTGGTAGATGTCATAGAAATACATGAACATATGTGACAAGACCAGGTTTGAAAATTTGGTAACAAGCACAAGCACTAACTACTCGTTCAAGACAAATAAACCTGCTTTGGCTAACTGGAAGCTATGAATGTAGTCTACCTCATTGCATGTGGTACATGTAAGATGCAATATGTTGGTGAAAAGAAACAAAAGTTGAGATCAAGAATCTACCAGCATAGAAGAAGTTTCCTAAGACAGAATTCCAGTACCTTCATGGTGGATCATTATAAAAACATTGGACATAATCCAGAGAACTTCAAGGTTGATATATTAGGCTATACCTATGCCAGCAAAAGTAACAGAATCAACCTAAAGGAAAAGGAATTACACTGGATTGAACTTCTTATTAGCGCCTACCCATTTGGTTTTAACGGCTAAATAAAAGGCTATGGAAATATATCGGATTTGATAAATCCATTAGAAAAAGAAGGGCATCCATTCTTTAAACATTCTGTGTCACATGATAGGCGGAGAGTGAAGGAAAGAAGGTCAAAAAAAAGAAGAGTAAATGCGGAGATAGAACAGACTTTATTGTCAATAGAATAAATGAATTGAATAGCAATGCCCTATATATTTATCTTAAAACCCTAAATAAACACGGTATCAATGTCAAAAGAATTTTGATGCAACACATAGAACAATCTGACATGTTGAATTATGGAGATGTTATTAGATATAAACTTAGTAACCCTTTAGGGTTACCAATTAGTAATTACAATAGTTTCTTGAAGAGACTAAATGAACAGGGCATCAAAGATATTGAAAAACAACCGTGTATGTATATGTAGTAAATATACGGAATATATTGATAGCAACTTCCATCACATATGCACTGGTAACATGGAAATAATTACATGATATTAGACTTAGAAAGCTACTGAAAAAAGGTACAAAGTACCGCACACATGGAATTATCACGAAACAGGATGCACTGCAAGTCCTGCACACTTTGGTCCAAGACTTGGTCTCGAAAATATCCAAGAAAACTAGAACAAGTGCTGAAATTGAACAAAATGTTACAGCACAGTTATAAAACTATTTCAGAAAACGAGTTAAATTTGAACTATTTGATTTATAAGACAAGGGCCTGGTCGAAAGTGAAAATTATAATCGAGATTGCCTAAGGAGCTTACAGAAATACTTTATGATTACACCTATAGATAAGGCTAGCTCCAACTTCAGTTTCACCTTCAAAAAACTTTATGTAAATGATGAAAAAAGAAATGGAGCAGTCAGGCGCAGACGGTTGCACATATGTGTGCACGGATTTATAAGAAGAGGATGTTATCAGAACCCATAACAGCATTCTGAATGGACTTAACATAAAAAGTGACAATGGTACTTTAAAAATACCTAGAATTTATGGTATACCTACAATGCATAAGAATCCCATAAAGTTCAGATATATTACAGGTGCAAAAAAAGTACCTTGAAAACTTTGACAAACATTATACAGTTAATATTGTCACATTTTCGTAGACACTTTCAAAACTATTGTAAGGTTATTAGGCTAAGAATAATATCAAACATTTTCGGGCGATAGAAAACAGTAAACAGGTAGTGGAAGAAGTGGGAAGTCTCAAAGGGAATCTGGAGGTATATTCTGCAGACTTCTCTAGCCTGTTTACTAGTCTGCCACATAATGTAGTTAGTAATAATCTTGAAAAACTAATTACTATTTGCATGAGGGGATTTGAAATTTGAGGTTGTATCAATCTAGAGTGTCATATACAAATGAAAGTAGAGCAAAAGGCAGGTACTACCAGATAGAGGACATAGTTTACATGAAAGACTCAATTTTGAATGCCAGTTATTTATACTTTGGTGAAAGAATATATCTTACTAGCTGGCTTACCCGGCTCCGCCGTATCCGGACCAAACTTGGCACACATACACTTCGGGCCCCGGCGGGTGTCACAGTCCACTTTTCGTTATCGATCGATGTCGATTTTACCGATTTTTATCGATTTTGCAGAGTTCACCTACGGGGCTGGGAGTTGGCACAGGGGGGGAAGTGAGCATGGGGATTCCGAATACAACATTAGTTTTCAGGATCGTCCATTACTTTTATCGATTTTATCGATTTTTTTTGTAAAGTTTGACCTGCGGGGCTGGGAGTTTGCACAGGGGGGTAATCGAGCATGCTGATTACGAACACAATATTAGTTTTCAGGATCGTCCATTACTTTTATCGATTTTATCGATTTTTTTGTAAAGTTTGACCTGCGGGGCTGGGAGTTTGCACAGGGGGGTAATCGAGCATGCAGATTACGAACACAATATTAGTTTTCAGGATCGTCCATTACTTTTTCGATTTTATCGATTTTTTGAAAATTTGAGCTAGGGGGCTGGAATTTGGCACAGGAGTGTAATCGAGCATGCTGATCACCCCCCTTGGGGGTGATCAGCATGCTCGTTTACCCCCCTGTGCCAACTCCCAGCCCCCTAGCTCAAACTTTGCAAAAAATCGATAAAATCGATAAAAGTAATCGATAATCCTGAAAACCAATATTGTATTCGGAATCCCCATGCTCGATTACCCCCCTGTGCCAACTCCCAGCCCCGTAGGTGGACTCAGCAAAAAAATCGATAAAAATCGATAAAATCGATATCGATCGATGACGAAAAGTAGCCTATGACACCCGCCGGGGCCCGTAGTGTATGTGTGCCAAGTTTGGTCCGGATCGGTTCAGAAATGGAATTTTCTATTCGGAACATACGTACACACAGACAGACAGACAGACATACAGACAGACAAACAGACATTCAGCTTTATATATAAGATCAAAAAATCGATAAAATCGATAAAAGTAATGAACGATCTTGAAAACTAATATTGTATTCGTAATCTGCATGCTCGATTACCCCCTGTGCAAACTCCCAGCCCCGCAGGTCAAACTTTACAAAAAAATCGATAAATCGATAAAAGTAATGGACGATCCTGAAAACTAATATTGTGTTCGTAATCAACATGCTCGATTACCCCCTGTGCAAAATCCCAGCCTCGCATGTCAAAATTTACAAAAAATCGATAAAACCAATAAAAGTAATCGATAATTCTGAAAACTAATATTGTATTCGGAATCCCCATGCTCACTTCCCCCCCCCCTGTGCCAACTCCTAGCCCTGTAGGTGAACTCTGCAAAAAAATCGATAAAAATCGGTAAAATCGACGTCGATCGATAACGAAAAGTGGACTGTGACACCCGCCGGGGCCCGAAGTGTATGTGTGCCAAGTTTGGTCCGGATACGGCGGAGCCGGGTAAGCCAGCTAGTAAATGAATAAAGGAATTCCACAAGGAGCATCTTGTAGTCCACAAATGGCAGATCTTACGCTAACTTACATGGAATACACTTTCATCAAAAGACAGATAGTGGACAGACAGACAGACAGATACCTACAGATATATGATGACATACTGCATATTTCAACCAATGCATCCCATTTTGTAGACAGCCTCAAGGAAATATACCACCCCACTTTAGATATAGAAGCTACATCCATTGGTGTTGGAGTAACTAATTTTTTGGATCATACAATAACTAGGATAACAAAAACGTCAATTTTAGTCTATACAATAAGACAGATGATTATGACTTTAGAGTGACTGGATATCCAAACTAGAAGTCCAATATTCCTCGCTACATATTATTCAATACGCTTACTTCTAAGGTCTTAAGAA